CTTACAGCCCGGACCTCGCACCCTGCGACTTCTTTTAGTTTCCAAAAAATTAAGACAAGCTTAGAGGCACACGTTTTAAGAGCCGTGAATGCATTCCGTGAAGCCATTGAAGAGATCCCTAAGGAAGACTGGTCCAACTGCTTTGTAGAGTGGTTTCAGCAAAGGCAAAAATGCATTAATTGTGAGGGAAACATACTTTGAAAAACAATAATTATACCGTAAGTCTTATATCTAGTCTTATTTATCAGAATCCAGAAACTTTCAGTATGCCCTAAGTACATATATGTTTGGAACTACACATTTTTTTTATGTTAGAGGGGGCAGACGAGCAGACGGGTCACCTGATGGAAAGTGACCATCGCCACCCATGAACGTCTGCAACTCAGGATTCATAAACATGTGTTGTGGAATATCAGACAATGTTGAGTGTTGAGTATTATATCAGTGGTCGCCTGAAGGAAGAAATACGCTTGTATATTAAAAAAAAAATGGTTTTACGCATGTGTACATATGGAAGTAAAATGTCTGCAATTGTCGAGGCAGCAGGCTTTACTCGTTGATAAAGAGGCACCAATTAGACTTATTAGTAGACCGGTATTGTCGAAATACACACGTAAAATCATGTTATTTCATTAGTATAAATATTAATCCCGAAACATCCGTCAAAGGTAAGAAATAACTGAAAATATTGTACTAATTTTAAATATTCTTCTTTACTTTACTTTATCTAGAAGTGACAAATGATGTAAGAAGTGTAAGTATTGAACCGCGCAGCCGAAGACTTGTGCAAAACTGTTTAATTTTGGTTATTGCACATTCACGTAAAAATAATATAAATAAATAAGTGATGAAATTCGAATGTAATTCTATAAGTAACAGCTCATCGCTTTTGCCACAACATCATTAAAAAAAACCTGTAGTAATTGGTTTCCGGTTTCTCCGCCATATTGTGGCAGTACCCCATAGAAAGGGATCTACGCTAGAGCACGCGCTTCAACAGCTGCGCGTACGCACCTGTTGTTACTAGTCGTCTCTAATGATGTCCGATGGTACGTGTTGAGTAATATTTTCGATTTTTATTTCAAATAGAAGTAAAAGTTTTTATTTTTAATTTAAAATCTTAATTTTTTATTTAAAATTTAAATGTCGCCGTCGTCGCGTAGCCCAGCGTGCATGAATGCATTGTAGTTTGCTCCCTTTGTCGGCTCTTACGCCACCGCTGGGATGACTAGCGGTGGTGACACTCTGGATTCTCAATCAGTGACCACACGGACGCGAATAAGGTATTACTTTACTTTATTTGATAATAAAGACTATCATCGCTATGAGCCTTAATCTTTCTCATAATTTAAGGACTTATCTGTCTCAATTGAGTTCTCGGTAGCAACTTTCCAATCATTAACAATTTTCTCCTCCTATATGTCCATTTATTTTAACATTAACCCGGTTTGTTTACACAATGTATGTTACAAAGCGGTTAAAGCTGTTACGGGTAACTTGAGTAATTTATATTTTATTGCATTGTTAAGTTTTATTTGTTCAATGTTATACTTAAGCTGAACAGATTTTATTACAAACATATGATCTTGAAATGTATTATTCAGTAAGTGTATGTAGTGTGTGAAGTAGAGCTTTTTAAATGAAGTTAAGTTTATGATTGAACCGAACCTGATGTATTTTATTAAGATTAATTTCAAAAGACATCAAAACACTTTAAATTTATTTTTAAATATTAGATTAACTTAATTTTTATTTACTTATAGAGTTATAATAGGAATAACGCAATAAAAGAAGCCCTAAATCGATCTAAGTGGCGTGCAATGAGAGAGGCCTATGTGCAGCAGTGGACTGCGATAGGCTGATGATGAATAAAAGACAGATTTTTAATAACATTTGTATTATTTTTATGCTATAACTGTTCATATTTATTGTATAATAAAGATTTCAAGATATTTCCTTGCATGGAAATAAAAATCCCATTCAAAACAACCTGCTATAAATTGTAATAGTACTGTATTAAGAAGAAGAGTTTACCTACAATAAATCTTCCATTTCATTAAGTCTTTTTTTTATGGAACAGGGGGCAAACGAGCAGACTGATGGAAAGCGACTCATCATCATCATCATCATCAACAGCCTTTAATAGTCCACTGCTGGACATACGCCTCTCCTTAGAAAGGAGGTTTTGGCCTACTATACCACGGTGGCCAGACGGGTTGGTATAGGGTTTGTGTCAAGTTTTCCTTCTCTCTGCAGTGCTGTTGTTCTGCGTAGTTTTTTCCCTTAGTCGGCTCTTACGACACCCACGGGATGAATAGTGGGGGTTACACTCTGTATTCTTAATCCGTCACCACACGGACCGCGACTACCTGCCTGCAACTCACGAGTCACAAACGCGTTGCCGACCTTCGAGGAAGGAGTACACTCTTTTATTGAAGGTTTGAAGGTCGTATCGGTCCGGAAATACCACAGTCGATAACTTGTTCCACAGGTAGGTAGTGCGAGGCAAAAAATGTCTTGAAAAGCGCACAGTGGTGGAGTGCCAATTATCCAAGTGGGGATGAAAATTTTGGTGTACCTAAAAGTTGCGGCCGGTAATAGTCCGAACAATTCCTCAGAGCACTCTCCATGATATCTTCCTTGTCTTGAGAGTCTTCCTACAATTAAAGTTTACAATAAACTGACTGTAACATTTAAAAAGTGAGTAATCGTCTCATTATAAGCTATCAATGATCCTGTTGGGACAAAATCAATGTTGGGTTAAGCATCTAATTAGGCTAAATTTTAATGATGTCTTATTTAATATGTCAATGACTTTCGATATACTGAAATAAAAAAAAACTGACTATTTTATTTAAATCAATTCCAGTTGTTTGGGTCTCGAAGTAGTTGGAAATTTTGCCTTATGTATATAAATACACATTTGAGTAACCCAAATTATTAAACAAACGGATCTAACTTGGTGTAGTAATGCATTTTCAAACAGGTGTTCGATATTCATAAAAATCTTCTTGGCTAGGATAAAGGAAAAAAACCAAAATCATGTAATTTATAATACATATATAAATAATATAAAAGTTGATGATAATCATGACACATGTTTCCCGAACTAGTACTTTAATTATAACATGAGCAGCAGTGTTCTTAAAGGGCTGTTTGAATATCTGTTAAAAGTAATCTCAAGAACCGATCTTATTCGAAATAAAATAGTTTTTTGGTAGCCATCCTCCATTTGACATCATGCACAGGTGCAAACATACTTGAGAGCGAGTGAAACTACATAAAATAGTTAAAACTAGTAAGTATTATTAAAGTTTACGTGTGTGGTCTCAACGATGTCGAGTAATAATGATTGGTACATACTATTAGATGAGTATATACATGATAAGCAAATTTTTTCTTATGATATTAATTCATTTTATAAACTCCGTTATGAATATCGATGTAGAGTCTATGGAGGTAATTATTACGGGAATATAGAGATTAGTCAGTCGTTGTTTAGTAACTTAATAATAAACAAATATTGATGCTTTTAATTTTTCAAACTTTTTGCATAATATTGGTTTCGCAAAGGCATATAATGCATCTACATACATTTACATGTTAAAAGAGAACCTAGATCTATCTTATCTTTACCCTTTTAACAGAAATTGTCTCGTGTGTTAACGTGAGGCATAAACAAGTAACCAAAATGATTTTGTCAGATGACATCGTAATGGAGGCGGCGAGCGCCAGACATACATGACTATAAGACTTACAAGAAATGAGATGATGATTATATTCAATAGTCATATTAACTGGGAGTTAAAAGTGGCTAATAGTGTCTATTTCAAAGTTCTTCAAGACTTACATGAATATCTGGCAGTCTTAAAGTTATATGGTTGATCTTGTTCTTGTCATTTTTATTTTTCGGAATTTTATTGCAAGCTCTTGAGTTATAAACTCTCCAGTATTTAGACATATAGTTCTAAAAAATCTTTATATCCCAGGATTGTGGACTATATAAAATAAACAACACTACAAAATAACTTTCAACAACTTATTCAAAATATAATTTATTGCAAAAAACTCATAAAATATTTAAACTACTGGAAAATTGACTCGTAACTTATATTATTTCTAATAATTATGTAATGTAGGCATATCATCTTTTACGAGTAGAATAGGTTTTATGTTTCACACTATAAAATTACTCCATAACTCAAAAAAGCAGGTGTTTTGTATAATACAAATATAAATATATACCAATACAAATATTTGAATACGACCAATATGTTATAAAATCTTTTATTTAAATGACTAAAACATACAAGAACTTAAAAATAACGAACTTATTTGCTATTATAAATATGCTATAACTATGCAATTTATATTTAAAATTTGGTTTACAATTTAAATATGCCAAAGTTAATATTTTGTAAATGATACACATTATTTATTAATAATGGGGCTTCGTTATGTTGAGAAACTGTTATAGTTTATGTTCATTTAGATGAATCTTGACTATATTTTTGGTAAAAGTGATTATTAATAAAATAATTGCATATCATCCTTTTTTTTTTGCCCCAGCGGTCCAACGGTTAACATAGTGTGTGAACTTACTCATAGTTAAATTTATCATTCTTAGCTACAAATGAACAAATACAGCAACAAATACTAGTATAAAGTGACAACTACCATGTGAGGAAGTGAAATACATAATTAAAATAAAGAAAAGTGTATTATAGCAGCAAATTTTTAGTGTAAACCGTTAAGTTTTAAATCTCAACTGATTTACCGGTGAGTGTTTTGACAATCAGTTTTTACGTGCTGTACACACAACCCGCACGGTTAAGCGGTGCGCATAAGAACCATTACTGCATGCGCTCACGCTCTGTGGCATACACTATCACTCGTAGCGGTGATTAAGTAACGCAGACAGCGCAACATATTATACCTACGCTTATTTCCTCTATGAGGCAGATTTTTGTTTGGGTTGTTGATTTTTGAATTTTCCCATTATGGCCACGAAATATGTTGAATGGGGTTGTTGCGCGAAGGATAATGAAACTGATGAAAATTTGGTAGATGAAAAATTCATTAAATGCACCAGTTGCGGGCAATCTTATCACTACGCATGTTTATCTGTCACGGAATCTCCAAACAAATCTTGGAAATGTCCCACATGTTTAAGTTGCGCTCCTAAAGTTAATAGGAAGGACTCAACTCCTATACGTAACGTGCAGATGAACAGAGGCAACAAAAGAGTCGCTATTGGCTCACCATCGCCGCCACCAATAGCAAGTAACAAGGATGAGATACGGACTATGATCCGAGATATAATAAAAACAGAATTCAATCTAATTTTGACACAATTCAACAAAACAGTAGTCAGCACAATAAATCAAGAAATGGAACCTATTAGAAAAGAAATTCAAGAAGTAGTGGCATCAATGTCATTCATGAATGACAGATTTGAAGCCTTCGAGAAAAGTCAACAATTTACTGTTGAAGTCATCAAAAACCTTGAATCTGAAAATAAAGAGTTGAAAAACACGGTTGGAGACTTACTTGCGCGCCTTAATCAACTAGAACAGCAATCTAGATCGAATAATATAGAAATACAAAACATGCCTGAAAATAAAAACGAAAATATCTACAACATTATTAACGATCTTGGACAAGTAGTAAGCTGCGAAATTGAAGAAAAAGAAATACTGCATTGCACTCGGATTGCTAAGGTGAACCCGTCCAGTACCCGCCCAAGGTCTATAATTATCCAACTCGCATCACCAAAGTTAAGGGATCAACTTTTAGCATCAACGATGAAATATAACAGAGATAACCCCCATAATAAACTCAATTGCGAACACCTGGGAATCAGTGGGCGCAGGACTCCAATATACGTGGTTGAACACCTCTCACCGAGTAACAAGGCCCTCCACGCAGCCACAAGGATTAAGGCAAAACAAAAGAACTACAAGTATGTGTGGGTCAGAAATGGCAGAATATTTGTCAGAAAAACTGAAGGTTCGGATTATATATTAATTAGGAACAATAATAGTCTGAACAAAATTATCTAATTTTTAATATATTTAATATCTTAATATATTATGCATGATTATGAATTATTATTACTAAAATTCATTAACTTAAAATTATATTATCAAAATTGTAGAGGTCTTCGAACTAAAACCAATGACTTTTATTGTGGCTTATGTTGTGCGAACTATGATGTGATTATCTTGACAGAAACTTGGTTAAACAGTGGTATACTTAACGAGGAGCTATTTGACGAGAGATATGTTGTGTATCGAAGAGACCGGGAAACTACAGGGTTCGAAAGTAAAAAAAACGGAGGCGGAGTGCTTATTGCTGTTTCAAAAAAAATTAACTCTCGTCGTATGGATATGTGGCAAAGTAGTTGTGAAGATCTTTGGGTCACAATCGATCTTTCCAATAATACTTCACGTCAAATGGCTCTTTGTGCAGTTTACCTGCCACCACCACTATGTGTATCAAGACTTGACCATTTTATTGAGCATTGTAATAATGTATTTGATACCACAACCATGCCTGTTTGTATAATCGGGGATTTTAATTTGGCTAAGATAGACTGGCAGATAGGTGCCAATAACGTTTCCCTGCCGAATGCGTGCGAGCGATTATTAGATTTTGCAAACACGAATAAACTTATCCAATACAATAAAATAAAAAATTGTTCGGGACGTATTTTGGACCTAGTTCTGTCGACAGTACATTCTTGTTCAGTGGATGAATCTAACTCCCCCTTCACTGTTGTCGACAAACTACATCCCCCTTTAGATGTAACTATATTTTTGTCAAAACAAAATTATCTCTCTTATAATAAATTAAGTAAGAGACCGAACTTCTTTAAAGCGGACTATGAGAAAATTAACAATTACTTAAATAATCAAAACTGGTATCAACTACTCGCTCCAGAAAGAGATGTGAATGACATGTTAAAGATTTTTTACAAAACTTTAAATACGGCCATTTATGAATATGTGCCATTCTGTAAACCATTAAACAGCCCTTTTCCCCCATGGTTTAATAAGAACATTATCAGAGCTCTTAAGGAAAAAAATAGAATTAGAGTACGCTTCAAGAAATATAAAAACCCAAGAGATGGAATAGAACTAAAGCTAATTACTACGAGATGTCAAATCCTTGCTAAAACTCTGTATTCCAGTTATATGAAAGATATGGAAGGCAAAATCAAGGATAATCCTAAGCTCTTTTGGACGCACGTAAAAGCAAAACGTGGAGGATCCAGTGTATACCCGTTGTCTATGACCGATGGAAAGAGTACAACATCCGATGGTCCAACCATCTGTGATCTTTTTGCGAATTATTTTTCATCTGTTTATACTCAAGACGACGACGAAGAGTTTAATTGCGAATCTGAATTTTTGAACTCTTTGAATAGTAACAGCCTGTCCTTAACCTACCCAACTTTTGACTATGACAGCTTACTTAAGAAACTGCAAACTGTTAATATTAGAAAAGGGCCGGGTCCTGATGGTATCCCACCGATTTTCATATCTGCCTGTGCATCTGCCCTGACTTCCCCGCTTCTACGTATATATAACACTTCGCTGTGTACAGGCACGTTCCCACGAGAGTGGAAAAAAGCCAAAGTAGTGCCAGTATATAAGTCGAATAAAAGAGAGGCAATATCTAATTATAGGCCTATTTCTATTCTGTCGACCTTTGCTAAAATCTTTGAGGCTATGGTATGTCCTTCCATCCAGCGACATCTGAGACTGTACATTAGTGATCGACAGCATGGTTTCGTTGCGTCAAGGTCCACAGCCACTAACCTATCAACGTTTACGGAATCGCTGGTGCAGGCTATGGATGTAAATAAACAGTATGACGTCATTTATACTGATTTTAGCAAGGCATTCGACAAGATCTCACATAAGATACTGTTACATAAACTGTCAGCTTATGGTATCACAGGACCCTTGCTCGAATGGATAAAATCGTACCTGACGGGGAGAGAATTCTTTGTTGTTGTAAACGGTTTTCAATCTACAGGTCGTGGCATAACTTCTGGAGCCCCTCAAGGTTCACATCTGGCTCCCATACTTTTTAACTTATTTATTAACGACATCCCTAACTGTTTTCAATTTTCTGAGTGTTTTCTCTACGCCGATGACTTAAAGTTTGCCAGAAGAATTGATTGCCCTAGTGATACCGAACTACTGCAAGACGATCTAAACAGACTCATTAATTGGTGTAGGTATAACAAAATGCTACTAAACACTGAAAAATGTTATCACCTAAAATTCACTAGGAGAGCTCACCCCCTTAAGTCAGAATACTTTATTAATAACCTAAAGATACAGGAAGTGAAAACTATTAAAGATCTTGGCGTTCTTTTCGATAGTAAAGTTACTTTTGTACCTCAGATCGATAATATAGTTAAAAGAGCTTCTAAAATGTTAGGCTTTGTTATGAGGAATACTAGAGAGTTCAAAAGCAACACAAAAATTATGTTATACAATAGTCTCGTGAGGAGTATCTTGGAATACTGTTGTGTTGTGTGGAGACCCCACTATGCCGTGCACACGTTACGCATAGAGCGCGTTCAAAAGCGCTTTCTGTCATACCTTACATTATCTTCAGGCAAAGGTAAACATCTGACCACGTATAGCAACCGATTGCAGTATTTTAGGATGCACCCACTGTCGGTGCGCAGAGACGTGTTTGATGCATTATATTTATTTAAAATCGTGAGAAACCTAATCGATTGTCCAGATTTACTGAGTCTTATAAGGTTCAGGGCTCCGTCTAGATATCCTCGAAACAGTATTACACCGCTGTGTCCACCATTAAGGAGAACAATGTCAGGCACTAACTCACTTATACCCAGATTATGCAGAATTTTGAATGGCTGCAGTGATTTGATTGATTTACACCATGATAGCAATTAGTAAGTTTTAATAAGTGCATCATCAACCAGTTCACACAAAAAATGAATGACTGCATTGTATTGTTGACCGAGCTGTAATGTTATTCTTATCAAAACAAATAATAACCTTATCTGGTTATAGCACTCTTTTGTTATAGTGTGAGTTTGATTCAGAATTAACAAATTTTTATTATAATCTTGATTTTAATTTTGATTTTTGTCTCAAGTTGAATTTGTGAAATTTCTATTTATTTTATTATATGTTTTTATTTATTTATATGACACACAATACAACTATTACAATTTTTATTTTATTTAATCCTAATTTGTTACATAATTTAAACTTTTTAAATGTTTTAATGCATAATATTATTGGTGTAGTACTCACTGGAATAACTCAAGTACAATCACTTTGAATGAATTGTAAATTATTTTATTGAACTTCATCTGAATTGTTATTTTAATATTTTCTTTCCTTACAAAAAAACGGAATTAATTTAATTTAATTTAATTGCTAATTAATTAATGGTTGTTTTGTTGTTATGCTTGTTTTTAATCATGTTAAATTAATAATTTACCTATATCCTATTTATTTTAAACTTGTAAAACCGTTACTTTAAGTGCATGTGGTGTTAGCCTGTAAGTGATTATTGCACTCACACATGTTTAGTCTTTAAGTCAATTCTGTAATGTTTAGTGTAATAATCGTTGGCTGACCAAATAAATAAATAAATAAATAAATAAATCAACAAAGTTGAATGGACCAAGTATTAATATGTAGATATTTAAATGTAAATAAGAGACTTGAAAAAAATAATTATACGTTATATTTATATAATAGTTTAAAAAATCGCCGGGGTCTAACGACGTATCAGTTAAGAATGACCAATTTATTCTATACACAAGCAGAGTAATATTTTGACTGAATTATTTGACTTATAGAACGGAAAGAAATAGTACCGATAAAATTTAAATAAAAAAAAATCTAGTAATGTACACATGGTTCCCCGGCAACTGGTACCCCAGACGGCGTGCGGTTTGAGTCCGATATAATTACCCCACCGGTAGGTGGTGTTGGAGGATTTTCGCAAAGAAGAAAAAAGGTAATATTACTAGATTTTTTTTTAATTTAAAGGAAACTCTTGTTACAACTAGTTATAATACCTAATAATGAAATTAAATTAACACTGGCCACCTATTTTCTTTGTTAGGCTACATCGTTAGAGAACCTCAGATAATTTATCTATTTCCACCATCTTTATTTCTTTAATTTAAAAAAGGTTTTTACAAAAGAGATGTGGTGTTGATACAAACGTAATCATGGCGTCATTAGTTAGCGAGGAAACCTCTTGTATATTCGAAAGCCGCGTAGAATTTTTAAGCATGTTGCTAAATCTTTGGCAAAATCTTATCAAAGTCATAATATATATTTTTTCATTTTGTCTACACCGGTGCGCTAAAATATTCCGAATTTGAAATTGACAGCGGTTTTGAAATGGCAAAAAATTCACAATCGATTTTAAATTAATATCATTAGTTTTATTGATATGAGAATCCTTACAAAAGAATTAAGATGAATAAAAAGAAAATGAATAGATTAGAACATAGACATATAAAAAGATTAAAAATCGACAATGTTTTACAATATACAGACACATAAACTCATTTGCCGAGTCTTTTCCCACACTTGGTTGAGGTTGGCTTTCAGTTTACTACGACACGTCTGAACTTCAAATTTTTACTTAATACTTAACCCAAGTTACTAGGCGATATCGATATTAATGAATAGATTGTTGTTGGAGAGCTCCAACTACCCGTAACGATTGCCACAGATGTTCATATTGAAACCGGGTCCGATGGCTTAACGTGCTCTCTGCTCGTGCTTAATGTGTTAAGAATGATCACCCATCCATAGACTGACTTGGATAGGATTGCTTAACTTTGCAATATGCTAACCTACTCGGTTACTAATAAGCCATGAGCCCCGGCAAGATATACTGACTAGTCAAAATAACGATTTAACAAAATAACGGATTATTTTCTTTCTAATGGAAAACCTCAAAGTTTTTTTCTTATGAAGCTTTGACCAGACCTCATTATATAACACTCATTGATTTATAGACACCTAATAGGTGACAAACTATGTAACAATCAGTATATTCTAATTGATTTATTGCTGTTATTTTATTTTGACAAATAAATGTCAAATGTGAGAGATGTGGTGTTGATACAAACGTAATCATGGCGTCATT